TATAAATGAACGTCCCAGCTATCTTAACAATTATCTTCAAATCAGTGTTTTTACGATGCAAAATAAATAATAATAAAATACATACGTAAATAAATAAATAATAACAATTAAGTATAATAAATAAATAGACAAAATGAACAAACATATAAATATTCTTTGGTTTTATAAATTTTAAATTACAAAAGTAGTTTGAAAAATTATAGAAAAAAGAGAGAGAGGGAGGGAAAGTTTTCGAAGTATAAAGGATAGCGAAGTCAGATTAATGAAAAACTAATGAATCAAGCAATTTATCATCACGGAGTGACCAATAAATCACAACTTGTATTTCATTATGTGGCTTTGAATGAATGAATGAATGAATGAACGAACAAACGAACGAACGAACGAACGAACAAATGAATAAATAATAGGATGAATGAAAGAATGATGGATGAGAATGGATAAATGAGTGAATGAATAAATGGAATGAATAGGACAAACGAAATAGCAGATGTAAACGCTAATTAACAAACCATTGGTGTTAATAAGTGAATGAATGAATGAATGAATGAATGCATGGATGAATGAATGAATAAATGAATGAATAATGAACGAATGAATGAACGAACGAACGAACGAACTAACGAATGAATGAAAAAACAAACACAACAGATAAACGAACTGTTAACTCAGAACGAACAAATAAATGAACAGAGTGAACAAATAAGTTTGAAAACGATTTGGTAACTGCGCGTAAGTTTGACTGAATGCCTATTAGATGAAACAAGCAACATTAAAATGTGCTGAATTTCGCAGAAAGATGCTATTATGAAATAATAATTTGAATTATTTATCTAGATGAAAAACTTGAACTTGAATTATTTATATGAAAAACTATTCCAAAAAAGGATTAACTTTAGATTTTAAATTTACTCTCTCTCGCTCTCTCTTTCTCTCTTGTTATACAGCTTGTGTACATTATACTTTTACTAGCCCGACCAGCTAAACCCAAAATTTGAAAATTTTTTATTTTGTGTTACTTTCACATCTAAGGTAAGAACGAGAAACTGATACATGCTGCATTTTGGTTGCAGTCATTTCAGTAATATATTTATAGACCACACGGAATATCTCCTGCTCTCTTTCTCTCTCTCTCTCTTTACCTGTTTCTCTCTCTCTCTCTCTCTCTTTACCTGTTTCTCTCTCTCTCTCTTTACTTGTTTCTCTCTCTCTCTCTCTCTTTACCTGTTTCTCTCTCTCTCTCTCTCTCTTTCTCTGCACATATATAATTTTTTATAAACTTATATTACTATCATGTTCAATGGTATTTGGCAATCAATAGATTGATTTAAGTGTTTAGATACACTGTTTAAGTGTGTGCTTATTTCTTTGTCTTTAATTAATACGATATTAAATTTTTTTTTTTTGATATTTTAGTTATTTATTCATTTAATTAATTAAGTATTACTTACTACATATCATATTCACCAATACACAAATTAATAAATGAAAACAAACGCAAGACGATGAATATTTACAACACAATCTTAGAGTCAGAATTTAATGTTACAAGCAAATGATCATTTTTATAAACGCTAATTAAACAGTTGGTAACATTTTCAAATCACACCTATGTATATGAAAACTCAAAAGGAAATAACATAACATAACATAACATGATGTAATGAAACATAACATGACATGACATGATGTAACATAACTTAACATGACATGACATAACCAAACAGACGATGACAAACCTGCTAGTGTTGTACATATGAACCATGGTAAATATGTATAAATAAGCACGCACGTACATGCCACATCACCATGGATGAAAAACGTATTTACAAACAGTTAGAAGTATGCGGAACTTATTCATTTGATATATATATATAAATTCAGCAAAATTAAACGAAACCAAAGTATGCATTATTTATATTCATTAATATACAAATTAATACACACACACACACAAACACACACAGATATATATATATATATATATATATATATATATATATATATATATATATATATATATATATTTATACAAATATTATTCGTACTTTTAAGGATTATACAATATATTTTAAAACCCAGATGTAAAATTGTTTAAAATGAAGATGATACAAACGATGGTTCAGCTGATAGAAATCATGATGTTAACGTTTATCATTATATGACGACAATGATGATGATGATGATGATGATAATGATGATGATTTCTTTCATCAACATGATCAACTCACTAGCTGTTTTTCTTTACCTAAAAAAATCAATATTATTTAATATATAATAATTGTACAGAGAGAAGGAGTAAAATAGAAATAGAGATTAAAAGAGAGCTAGAGAGAGAGAGAGAGAGAGAGAGAAAAAGAGAAAGAGAAAGAAAGAGGAAGAGAGAAAGCATGGTTTATGGACATGTTGGCTGTAAATATCATCACATCATCATGAAGATGATGATATGGAGCGGGTATTATTTTAATGATCGTCATTATCAGGGCTGAATATTTTTTCCAACGTATTTCTCCACTAATACATTTCCATCCCACAAGCCATTTTCTCCGGTGAAACTTTTTTCTCTTCCTCCATTACAACATTTTCATCATCATCGTCGTCATCGTCGTCATCCTCATCGTCGTCATCATCATCATAGTCATTATCGTTATTATAATCTTAAAGGTGATTTGAATATAGTTATTATCATCACAAATATTGCCGTAAGCATCTTCATCATCATCATCAGCATCAGCAGCTGGATCATCATCATCATCACCAACGTCTTCATCATCGTCGACATCATCTCCAGCATCACCATGCCAACAACGTCAAACCTTCGACCTCCTTCCAATTATTCGATGAAAGAAATTTATGAGAAGGCGTTTTTAGAGAACAAAATTTATTTTTTTTCAAACGGAGAAAAATTTAAATTAAAAAATAAATTAAAAACCGTGTTGAAGTAATAATGGTAGAAGTATGCATGAGAACATCACATGATGACGTCATCGTTATTAATGGAAGCCATTTTGAAATGCTTGCGTCACCACTTGGCCCTTTTCAATTACGAAAATATTAAAAAAGTTTTTATAAAAACTCTTCTAATGCCAGTCACAAAATAATACAACAATGGTAACAATAATGTTACTATTGCGATACTTAATTAAACCGGTGAAAAATGACAGAACCTGCTTGTGAATCGAATAAATTCTCTAATAAATTCTCATCTTCAATTTTTTTCCGTGTAAACATAACAATCTTCCATTTGTAAGTTGGTCTCTACTAAATGTAACTCCTGGGAATTTATCTATAACCCGCAGAAACCGCAGTTTAGATTAATTTTTATGCTTTCAAAAATTATGCCGTGTTAAATTTTATTGTCATGTGTTTACCCAAACATAAATTGATGGTTGTTGTAATGTGTGCGGTGTACAATTTCTTATTGTTTATTGCAGCCTTACCATATCGCCAATTGATTGACACATCACAGTACCAAGTATAAAATGTGTGAAACGAACGTTTAGAAGACTTACGGGGAAAGCAGTGATGGAGGTAGGACTGTTGGATTGTGAGAAGGTCAGAGGTGACGGGTGGCCGAGGAAAGGTGGGGAACTGATTTGGTAGCCGTTTGAAACTGGAACCCCGATGACTGAATGTTTGTAAAACAAATGTTTGCAACTTCTCGTTAATCAAATTTCACAAGTTCAAAATAAAAATTTCATGAAGTTATTTATATTTTCAATAGTAGTTATTTACGGCCTAATTTGAATTTGTAATACGATTAATTTTGGAACCATAATAATTTGATGAATGCCCGTTTTTGTGGAAAGGAGGCAACGCTAAAAACAAGCACCAACTGAAATCCGATGGATAGTCAAAAAGCGACAATAGACCGCGATGTGTGCCTGCAGTCACTGGACTCTGCAGCGGCCTCTGGAAGACGAGGTGATGATTTCGTTGGACCACGGAGTCTCCACTCTGCTGGGAGGAGAGAATTTGATGGTGGGTGAGTTGCAGTTGTGGGGCTGGATTACTACCCTGGGGCACGAGTGCGCCTGAAAACTCGCCATTAGTGATGAAGTGGTTGCTGGTTGTTAGCAGTCGATCGGTGTTGGAAGTGGCTGTGGCGGCTTGTGGTGCATTTAGTGCTGCTGCTGGTATCAAAGTGTAGCCGCCAAGACCTGGAAGCATACAAATTAGTTACAAATAAATCTTTTATTTTATACAATAGAATATATTTTGAAATATTTTGGAAAAAAACCAATTTAAATATTTGTAAAATTTGGTTGAATGAATTATTGTAAATAAAATATGTACCGGTGTGATAGTAGTAGCCAGGAACAGCGAAACTCCTTCCACACGTCGTGAAGATGGCAGGGGGTAGGGCAACTGAAAATACACCTGTCGAGGGGTTCGTATCGTTACACGAGAGGTGGAGTTTCAAATAAATGGATGACTATTTTAGATATAATAAGTAGAAATTGGAATAAGCAAGCCGATGAATAATTAGATACAACAAATTAATATTGGTTGTTAATGAATTAATAACATTGATTTTATTTAAATACATAAAGTCATTTTTTCAAATACTTAAAAAACTTAATAAAAATACGTAAATACACGTGGATCATGGCATTGCACGCACTTAGACGTGGTTCTCTTTACATTCCTACCCTGGCACTTAACCATTACAACGTCGTTCAGCCCATATTTTTTTTCGAATTCATTCCAAAATTGTTAAAGTGCCTGCTTAAATCTTCTCAACCCAAGCATTAATAATGACTCAATAGTCACGATGCAATCTCCTATGCTCCATGGCAAGAACCATCATTCGCGTGAGCAATGAAAGTCCGCCGTCCGCCGTGTCACGCCATTGTACTCTTAGTAAATCAAAACTTTATCGTAGAGAAAAAATAATATAAAATAATGTACAGTGTTATAAATTTTGATGAGTAATATTTAATAAGAATGGAAGCATGAGTTTATTAAAATTTCTAATTTTTCTGAATAATAACAATTTTTTAATTTTTATTATTCAGTATATTTCTAAAGAAAAGCAATTTGCAAAAACTAAATTGGCAGATCAAATTTATAAAAAAAATAAACATTCCCTCACTTTTGGATGCAGTTTGAGGCATCATCAACTCTTTTGGTAGTGCTTTCTTGCATTCAACCTGCAAGAATTTGTCATATATTGAAAGTTTTTAAAGGTATTCTTTTCCTTATTTACTGAAAGTTTTAAATTTTTTCGACATATTTTGATTTCAGTGTTGCACAAACAATCGGCAATTAATCTTTTCTTGATAACAACTCTCAATACACAACATCCACAATCAATTTATTGAAATGAAGTTCACTCACTAGAAAAAATAACAAAAATATTCCATTCAAGAACGACAAATTTATTTTATAAATTTAAATGAAAAAGAAGATTGGAACACGTATGAAATTGTTGATGACTTAACGCACACGCTCAGATGAAAGCTTAACATATCGCATGCCATGCATCATGCACACGTGACCGGCAACATTTCAAATGCGCGGATTTGCCAGGACAAAAAAATAAAATGACATCAAGTTTTTGTGTTTTCTGAATGAAAAATTTCCAATTTAATTCCCTTTTCATATTTTTCATTTTTCGCTTTTCACGGCACAATAGATGTCATTATGTTTATAAACTCAATGCAATAACATTCTGTGCGTTACATAAAAGCGAGCACATCGCACTGAAGGTCGACATTCTTATATTTTCAATAGAGTATTACAGCAAAAGTAGCAAAACCAAGTAGAAATGCAATAAATGAACAATAGCCTTTCTCTGATATCAACGTAATTTTCAAAAAATAAACACCAACACGGATAACCATGGAAACAACATTGCATCAGATGCGAGCACACGGACACGGTGACTTCGCATACCAATAAGCTGGCTAACGAATATACAATATTTTGAACGTCGGCAGAAATGTGGTTACTCGAATCTGCATTCGACATGCATACATAAACCGCACTGCACATCAACTGCACTATATGCATTATTGTTTTTTGGAATATGCATTCATTGATGCAAGTGCATATTTGGTAAATTTTCTACCTCTACCTGTATATGCAAGCATTCATGCAATTATATCTTTGTAAGTCTATATTGGTGTATAAGTGTTATTGTAATCTTTTTGGCAAATCAGAAAAAAAACAAATCCAGTGTAAAACTTTGAGATTTCATTTTTGCGAAAATATCTTCGTGTTCAACTTTCTGCATCATCTTTGTTTGTGCTCAACTTTCATTCGATAATGTCACTTTTTTTTTATATTTTAAATTTAACAGAAGCCACACAAAATTTATTTATTTCAGGCTGGTTGATTGATAAGCTAGACAGGTTAGTTCAGCGTGACTTGACGTTCTTGAAGTCTTGACATCGGCACCAAATGTTCGCGTGAGAAAAGAGTGTGTTGGCGTGTGTGTGTCTATCTGAATGTGTTGGCGTATGTGTGAGTGTGCGTTTGTGAGTATGTGTGTGTGTTTGTGTGTGTACAATGATGTCCCTATTTCATTATCTAATGACAAATTTTTTGATGATGTGGCGTGCATTTTTTGTTTTAGTTTGAATTGTTACATGTAGCGAGTGTACGCGTATATAACAAATTCATTTCGTATCGATTTAGAAAATATATACGTGTAGACACGCAAGAAAGTGCACGTGTTTTTATGTTTATGCACTTGCGAATGTCTGCAGAGATGTGCGTGTGCCTTCCTGCTACTTAATACGCCGAAGTGTTTGCCTCTATTGATGTTTTATGAATACAACATTGATTGATGACGTAAATTTGGATATGTACCTATATAAATGTACATACATTAATATGCAATATGCAATATGTATATATATGTATATATATATATATATATATATACACAAAAATATTTATGTATGTATGTATGTATGTATGTATAAATAAAGAATTTGTTTGTTGTGAATAGCTTACTTCTATAGAACATACTGAAATTTTAAAAAGTGGAGAACGAATGGGTTTGGTGCAAAGGATAAAACATTTGATTCTTTGGACTTGGCTTTTAATTCGTCTAAAAAGTTTGAATATGTTCTGTTTTTTATGTGTATTCTAGTGAATCATTATAACTGTCATCTTTATACAATTGTGCCCATACCACAAACGATTCTATATAGAAAACCCGCCAAAGACACAAATGGAGTAAGCAGGGCGGTATCTAAACTGAATAAGCGTTGTGAAAGTTAAAAGGGCATTGATAACTGAATTAATTGAGGTCCTTGTTTGAAAGTTTATGTTTCAATGTTTGCCCTAAAATCTAAAACTGAGATCTTAACTTTTGTAATAATATTTTGTTTACTTCAGTCAGCCTTCCAATTAAATACATAAACATCCAGTTATTGAAAAAACTTACACTGTTCTTGAATAATAACAATAATAATTTCCATTTTTCACGCCTTTATACAAAAAATTATAAATTTGCTCAATAGCCTAACTCCACAAAACTCTTCAATTATTCGAGAAAAATAAATTAACTTCAAAAAGCGTTCAACATGAATAGTTTATAACATTTATTAATACGCAAAATAGGCTCATTACCTTTGTTGTAGTAATATAATCTATTGACATTTTGCAAATAGATTCCGTAAATTAATCATCAACCGACATTTAACCAACCAAATCAACCATTCCAATAATTAACTAACTATTGAACCTTATTACTTAATCAATTATTCAATTAGACAACCAATTAAACATACCAAGAATAAAAGCACCAACCAGTAAGTCAATCATTCAATCAATCATTCAGTCAGCCAGTCAGCCAGCCAACCAATCAGTGTAATAGTGTGGCAGCAATCAATTGCGTGCCAAGCCATGCATACTAACTTCAATTGATTTGATGATTGACTGAAAACGAAATAAATACAATGCGGCGCATTTCTGCATCCGGATGAACCTCTCTCATAGAACTAGAGTGGTTCGTTCATTTGCTGCTTAAATTTTGCAAAATTTTAAACAAATTATTTCAAATTAAATAAATTTAGAACCTGTTTGTTTATTTTTTTTGTTGTGTTCAAACATTATTTAGTTGATATTAAAAACTCGGCAATTAGATCACAGCACAAAACTCGAATATTTGAAAAACATTTAACAATTGCATACAGACAACCTTCATAGAAAGCAAGTACAATAAGGTAGGTAGACACAACAAAAAGCGAAATATATTCACACATATAGATAAATATATTTACTGTAGTAAGTCAGTTTATTTAAAAATATATATATGTGTGTGTGTGTGTGTGTGTGCACGCACGCACACGTACGTATATATGTACGCACACGTACAACATACACACAGCCTAAAATATATTATAAATATTGAGAGGTACTTATGGAGCCATGCATCAATTATACTTATCAAGACGCCCCATGCCGCATATGTATGCATGTTTATAAACGTATGTTCATATATTTGTTTAAGTATGTCTGTATATTCTAATGTAGGCGCGTTTGTGTGTATGTGTTTTTGTGTGTGTGTTTTTGTGTGTGTGTATGCAGTGAATGCGCATGTGCATATGAATAACGAGGCCAAAAAGTGATGACGCGAGAAGAAAAAAGAAATGGAGTTGATGGAGGTTGGAATGTTATTCATAAAACTACACTTGTGTGTGCAAGTGTATGTTCATATGAAAGTTGTTAAAATGAAAACGTGATGAATGACACGTCAACAATCAAACATCAAGTAACAAATGGTTAAATTTTTTGATTTGTCGTTATTCAGTTGAATATTCTCCATCCCACAGGCATTCAGGAAACGCTGCAACAAGCAACGAAATGTTATTCGTTACAAAAAATAGTTTTTTGCTGTCCCCTGATTTAATACTAATTAACTTACATATTGTTTTAAGAAAGTTAAAAATGTTGGCGTCCGTAGGACTGGGAACCTCGATGCGTATCGGCAAAAATTCCATCGAGGGGAGGGCGTCTCCGTTTATTTTTATTTTCTTGTCGCTGCCCTGGTAGCGACCAGACCACATTCAGAGGTGTTAGGCCACAATTTCAACCAGCCGCAGCTGGCTTCACTGGACATGGCTAGCAAACGAGCGGTGGATGAGTCGTTGCCGCATGAAGACAAAAGATTTTGAAAAGTTTTTTATGATTGTCGTTTAGATTTTGGACATGTGTAGACATTTGTGGAGGAACATCACAGCAACGGAAAACCGGGAAAGTAGGGAAGATTGCAAGTCGAGAGTGGCAGTGGCAGAAGATTCATAAAAGATTGGAGCTAGCTGAACCACACTAAGCAATACCACCCCCACCAGTTCGCACCGGCAGTTGAGCCCGAGACCAAACAACGTTAGTCAATTGAATATTGTGTATAAGTGTGTATGTATGTGTGCGTGTGTGGGTTTTGGTCAGTGTTTTGTTTGCTGTGGGTATACATTATCACATATGCCGGTGTATTTGTATGTTTTATATTGTTTTTTAGCGTATATATATATATTTGTTAACCATAGTCTGTGTGTATCTTTGCAATGTTGTGTGTTTTTATTAATGTCTCTAAAACCTGTCTACAAAAATTGCTGTTTCATTCGTTTCGAATCGCTCATTCAATCAATCACTCGGGCGATGATGGGTGGAATGAAATGCCAAAAACGAATAACAAACGATTGAAAGATCGATAATTCTGAGCGATCGTTCGTTCAATCATTCATTCCTTTATCTGTTCATTCAGTCGTTCATTCTTTTATCTATTCATTCAATCTTTAATTCGTTTATCTATTCATTCAATCGTTCAGTCCGTTCAATCACTCTTTATATAATTATTACATATTTTTATTCTAAAAAATTATTTATTTTATAATTTATTGAAGCGATTATTAACGACGCTCAATACAATGGTTGAATAATTCTCAATCATACATTTGAAGGCAGCTGAATATTGCACATTCTATTTCATTGTAGACATCAAATTGATAATAAAAGGTTATGTGTACCACACTAAAAGAATGCTACCAAATAAAAATGCTATATGTATCTGCAAAAAATTTCGGTTTCTAAAAATTTAAAAAAAGTGAAAAATAGTCTTGTTATGTCACTAGCAATTAATTCTTTGACAGAAAATATTCGTCGAAGAATTTTCCTAAAAATGCAGAGAAAAAAATTT